AGATGGGGGCATAGCGTTCTGCCGCCTTACCAAAAACACCATATTGATTAACTGAAAAGAAAGGGGGAAAACAGATTTTCGAATCATACGCTTACAAAACAATTGACCGGAAAAACGAACAATTTCAAATGTCCATCTTCCACAATGCACGGAGAAAAATTAACTCTCTGTGGCAAACTCTTGGTGGCGCACTGCATTGTGAAACGCTTGAATTACCGACTTGATTTCAAGTCAAATTGGACAAAAGTGAAAGTACAACCAGGGTACAGTGGTACAGAACAACTTGTTTTAGCAGAGGTACTTTTCTGTGTAGTTTGCTCAGTGCATGGCGGATCAGGAATTCCTCAGGGCAACGAGGCTTGAAGTAGGCCTAGTGAATCAAGATGTAGTGAGTGATGGAGTTTATTAAAGGAGTTTATTAAGTCAAATTTGGATTCTTTTTTTTACATTGTGTACAATGAAAAGACAGGGATGGGGGGCGCATCCGCATTTGTTGTTAATATGTTCCGACTTATAAAAGTAACTTTACAAGCAAAGGGGTACCAGTGAGTCCTCAAGTCTAAAACAATAGTTGAATGTCGCCCAAGAGGTATAGTCTCGCAACCAAACGCTGAATGCGCTGCAGTATTCGAATGCGATTCCGGCATTGTCCAGGCCGACGTCATCCAAATTTAGCATAATTATTGGGCGTTTTTTATGTATAAAAAAAATCATTATCACAAATTACACTGGCGGAAATTAATCAAACGGAGGTCAACTCACAAGTGATAGAAAGAAACAGCAGTAAAAACAAATAAAAATCGATGGATTTTAATTTAGTTCCTGGCTTAGGGTATGGCGCCTAATTCATATTCAAGTGTTAATTTTATGCGCCCATTAAATTCCAAATTGTGACGGTCATTTCGTTCCAGAACTATAATCATTCAACCACGGTTGATTATCCGATCTTTACTACAATATGAAAACGGCCGTTTGTAAAGTAATTATCAAAACAAGTAATTCCACTAGGAGACAAAAGTTGCGGGTGACTGTCTCCTCAACAACAGTTCAAAAGTTGGAATTTTTTTGTAATCTTCCTAATGATTGTCGTCGCGTGATGCACAACAGTCCTTCACATCGCCCACCCACGGGCAGCATGGGCTAGAAAAAGCATATAAGCACGCCGATTTCCCTGGTGTGCCAAACCGGAGCTGGCGTGACGTTGCTACTATCGGCCCTTGTTTGCGTGGTATAGTTTCTACCAAGAAGGTTAATAGTTGAGCTTCTCTCTGCCAATATCACCATGAAGTGTTATATCCTGCTTCTTCTGATTGGGGCTTGTGCTGCAGCAGCTATCGAAGGTGAGTATTTTTATTATTTGACGCTAACACGACACGCACTCAGAAAAAAGGTAAATAATAAAAACGAATTGGTATGTAGAGGGTTGTTTCTTGATAATCAAAAGGCACCCAGGCGATGTCCATGGTGTTATTCGAAGCCAATTCGAAAAGGAAGAAAACCTTTTTTTTAACTAAATGATTGTAGTCACTCTCTATGACCATGATATCAGTGGCAATTCAGTTATTAGAGTTATATTGAATGGTATAGTTTAGGAGACACTTTGTAGTAAATTATTTTATTGGGTAAATACTGAGCATTAGGGAGATGATTTAATGTTTTTTCCATAATTTTAGGATGGGTAGTATCTTCAAATGTGGTTATGGGTGCCTTGTGCACAAGACTGCGGGAATGGTTCTCTGGCGTACCATTTTTGGTAAATTTATTATATGAACTATTTTGATCACCGTTCGGAGTTCGAACCTTGTCTGATGATTTATTATATGTGAACGGAGATTCACTATTTCATTCTTATACATATTCGTTCAGACTGTTAGCGTACCACAGAATCTCTTGCAAGGAGCAAGCTCGCGAAGAAACATGAACTTTTACGTTAGTTCTGACTCATTGGTCATAATAACCCCCCAAAAATGATTGTGTTCTTTTAAACATGCGTTCTCCGCGAAGCGTTCTAGTTTCAGCTCGACAAATAGATTCCTTTTTCAATTGCTATTTTCCTGGCAATATCAAAGTTGTTCACTTTTGAATGAGACATCGAACGAAAATATCCACCGACGTTTAGGCCAAAAAAGGTTCCGGTTTCTGGTCGCCATAGCCATGCGCGTCGCCAAAATTAAAAAGTTGTTTTTTTAATGAAAGATGGTGTCTCAAAACACCCAAACTCACTGGTTTGACTGGAATCCTGCTGCTGCAAAATTTTAACGTGTTTTTAGATGGGGTTACGATCGAGTATAAGCTTTATGTGGCCCCTCTGGGCTCCTATACATGTTGCACTAAATTTAGTTGGGCACCATTTGCAGTTATCAGCCGACATTCGAAGAAAAAAAAGGTAAAAAAAAATATTTAAAAAAATCCGCGTCGCCGCACCACTTTTAGGCAAGCTCCAGATCAGAAACCGGAGACTTTTTGGGGGGCCTTAGTTGTTTCTTTACAAAATTCGAATTATTGGCTGCCAGACAATAACTTGGCTCTCGCTCGAAACGGATAGATTCAGACACCCTAATATGAATATCGTTTTCAATTGTGTCGTTTTGTCTGGTCTTGTTTTTTCTTTTTTCCCTTTTTGTCTCGTGTAATTTGGTTTTATTTGGTTTGTTTTGTTTTGTTTTGTTTTGTATTGTTTTATCCTATCGTTTTACTCGTCTTGTCACATCCTTTCTTTTGTCTCATTTATATCTTGTCTTGTGTCTTGTGTTGCCATTTACATATCTCTCGTTTTGTTTTGTTCCGTCGTGATTCCCTGTGTCTTAATTTATTTTCACTTGTTATATATTTTTGTTATCCTTTAAAATTGTGTTTATAACTTCTTTTGTTTGTGCTTAAAGTTAGCTGGTTCATTTTAAACTTGTTTTCATTTTTTCTTGACTTTTTAATATGTTTTTTGATGTACATGTTTTCTTGTTATTCTCGTGTATGTGGTTATGTGTTTGATTTCTTTTCTGTTTTTATGTTTGTTATCTTTACTTTTATTTATTGTTGTCAGGGGTCTGGTTATACACATCATTGGATGACAGTTTTTAACGTCTGTATATTTCCTAGACAGCTAGCCCCTGTGCAACCATTATTGTTTTTATATGTTTATGTCTAAATATTTAAAATAAATAAATAAATAAATACATTTAGTATAGTTTCTGTGGTTAATACAAAACATACATATTCAAAGTTCGTTAAAAAGAGGGTTTTTTGGAAAAAACTGTTTGAAAAAAAAAATATGAAACAGACTTTCATCTATTAAATGCGAAATTATGCGCCTGTAGCACTGCGCGAGAGAAAAATACTATCACACTAATCATTAAAAAGGCTCTTTTTCTTCCCATATTTCTTTGTCATTTTGTTTATGTTGCGCGCCTCCTGATACTAATTTCTGGATTCTTGGAAAGCATGTTCAAAACTTTAAAAAAGTCAGTGGTGCGTTTCTTTTTTCCTTGAGTGTACAAGGCGTTAGTTGCGTTGAGTGAAACTGGCTGCAGGTCTTTTTACTGAAAATATTCGCATCTAATCATCTTGTGTATGTGCAGACCATGTTACATTTGTTTACTAATTGGACGTTGTGGTCACGTGATGCTACAAATTGGATGTTGAGATCACGTGCTGCTTTCAGCAAACTGTTCTCTTCTGTACTTCAATATGAAAAAGTGGTGACACAACCGTAAATTCCTTTGAACATCGTCGCGCCAAAGTTGCTCAAACGTCTAGCTTCAAGATTGCTCAAACGTTGATATCAAAAACAAAGAAGTAAACAACAGCTAAGAAATCATTATTGGGAAAAGAAAACAACACAAAACAAAAATGTAAACACCATAAAAGTGTCAAAGCCAAATAAAAACAGTATCAAGTATTCCCTAATTTCCTACAGCTTAGAGGAAAGAACACTTGCATATATCTGTCATTTTCAAATTCGTTTAATGACCCTTATAGTAATACTGACATGATGTAGTCCATGTATGTGAGGGCACAATACGATAAAGCTTGTCAAACTTGCCGTGGTCACGAAGTGAAAATGTTGAGAATAGCCTGGTTATTAAAGGGTTAATTTGAGCAAAATAAACATGCAAATGATGATTAAACGTTGGGTTCCGTTAGCATGACGTCATAGGTCACATGGTCCATAGAGTGTAACATCCTTTCTTATTTGTGACCATTTTTATTTTTCCGATGTTTGCATTCTGACATTCAGATGAGACCAAGGCATTGGAGGCCTTAATGCAAGCGATTGACAGCAATGAGCTAGATGGAGTGATGGAGAACATGTAAGCTAATTTCATCAATATTTTTTTCTTTTAATCAAAACCTGCTGAGAGGAAAATAACGCTTAGCAAATTAGCAGAAAATAGCTGGCAACCAGTCACTGCAGTATAAATCCCATGGCATTTTGGTTGGTTACCTGATATTGCTGAGCACGTATTTTCTCTGCTGACCACGATTATGCTTAGCACATAGTTTCCGCTATCACTTGCCCACTAAGCATAAATTACATAGTTTTAAAGGGAGTATTACGGCCTGAAATCTTCTGGTTTGCCTTTAGTCCACACAATTTTCGTCTTGCGGAAACGGCTGTTTTGTTTTTGGTGGTTTTTTTACTCACCCTGTATACTAGAACGCTGCGTTCATTTGAATGAACCAACACATGTTTTGTTCTCGTACTTCAACACAAGTTACTGATTGCGGATGCATCCATTTTCGCACCGAACGTTTTGGGGGCGCCCCTGAACTTATAAGGTGCTGGATTGCGCCAAGTTGCGAAGTAACTTTCGAGGGAATGAGTCTTGGATGGTTGTCATCCGTAGGACTTATGGATTGTCGCCCCTGCTGCAACATCTCTGGGATTGTTTTAAGATCTTCCCGCTGACCAAAACAACTTGTGTCTAGTAGGCCTAGATTAGTCCCACATGTCCGTAACTGCTATTAACTGAGACCTCCGAATGTGTTTCGTATAGGAGGAAGAACGGCGTCTCCACAGGATGGTGGGGGGCACACCACCACAACCAATGCGTCTGCCACCATTACGACAAACGAGATGAAGACAACTCAGGTATTTGTCTTAATGATAGGCATAGAAGAAAAAAATGCATAACATGTCTAGATCCATCTTTCGAAACCAATGTTGTAAAAAAAGAACGATATCCAAAACGTACAAGATCACCTATCACGTTTTTTTGGGGGGAAAAAGGCAACTGTTTCAGGGTTGCATTTATTTTTAGGGTCACCCTTTATAGGCCCAGCCTACCTCTTAATCGTTTATTGTGGCTACGAAGTGTTGAGAATGGCCTTGGTACCTAAAGGATCAATAATAACAAGAGCAACATAACATACAAAAGATGATCATTAATGTTTGGGTTGACCGTTAGTATATGACGACACAGGTCACATAGTGCATAATTATAGTGTAATATCCTATTTTATTTGTGACCATTTGTTTCTTGGTGTTTGCATTCTGACATTCAGATGACGCTGAGCCCATGCCAGCTTCAATGAAGATCAAGTAAGCTAATTTCATCATTATTTTGTAATCAAAACGTTTATGATTTGATGAGCGGAAAATTGTGCTTACCAAATTTACTTACTAAGCAGAAAATAGCTGTCAACCAGTCACCATTATTAGCAGTATATATTGGTTGGTTACCTGATATTGCTTATTAAAAAACAACTGTTTTCTTTGCTTACCACGATTATGCTCAGCGCATATATTTCCGCTAACACTTCCCCATTAAGAAATTAGATAGCTCACTGGCTAAATTAAAGGGGCATTTCGGCCTGAAATCCACGGACATTTTTGGACCGTTCAAAAGGTCTGGTTAAAATAGACTAACCTAATGTTGCACACTGTTCCTGAGAAACACTGAACACCATGCGACACCACTGAACTTAAGCTGCTGGATTTCGCCAAGTTGCGAAGTAAATCTCAAGGAAATGAGTCTTGGGTGGTTGTCATCCATAGGACTTGTGGATTGTCGCCCAAAAGGCATTCCCTCTGACCAAAAAAAAATGCCTCTCGAAGGCCTAGATTGGCCCCACATAATGTCCGTGACTGCTTTTAACTGAGACTTCCCAATGTGTTTCGTACAAAGGAAGAGCCGCGTTTCCCGGGGATGGTGGGGACACGACCATCACTGCCACTGCGGCCACTAAGGAAATGAACACACATCAGGTAGGTTGTCAATATATGCCTAGAAGAAAAGGTACATAAATTGTCTAGACCCTTCTTTCGAAAGCAGTGTTGTAAGTCGAGTCCATAACGAGTCAGAGTACATAAGTCACAAGTTTGGTTCGGAGTCCAGTGTACATGTAGACAAATTGTTCCTGATAATCTACGATTGAATTTAAGTGTTGTCTTCTTCTTTTTTCTTACAGATGGCAAGCGTAACTATACCGACAATATCCATGAGTAATGTTGCCGCGAGGGATGCTACTGGGAGGAAATCGTGGAATATTGCTAGACATTTGTGTCCGGTTACGTTAATATAGATTAGTAGCGAAGTCGTTCCTTTTATCTTGATGTATTTTTTCGTCTTTCACTAATTTTACTTTTTTTTCTTTTGAAGTTTAATGGTGGTATGTTCTTATAGCCGAATGTTTAACGTGTATATCACACATTGTTTCTGATAATTTATTAGTTGATTCAAACAATATTCAAACAATATAGATGTTTTGAAATAAGAGAAAAACATCGGGGAAAAAAATCGGACAACTTCCTGAAGAACGCATGACGTAAATGTAATGGCAGAATAAGACGGAGGGACGTTGCTTGCTGGTTCGAGAACGCACCTCCATCTTGTAACTGCCTTTTTTTCAAATATTATTCCTCAAATGATATGAAACTGCTATGAAGACTTTTGGGAAAAGCGTTAAAAACAACACTGCAATTTCTCCACGGGGACAGACGGCTTTTTATTTGCTATTTTATCTATTTTATCGATTATATCCTCTATCTTTTAAAATAGGAAAGTCATAATTTCTCAGTGAAAATCAACTTCAGTTTGAAGGCTGTTCGAACCAATTTAAGAAACTATAGTCACGTATATAGCAAAAGCTAGTTTGACGACCCCAAGCAACTGCGGTTTTACATAAAGTCATTAAAAAGCATTTTGTCCAATACTTGAGAGGAAAAAAGTGGCAGAGCCAGCTGCAAATATTACAATTAATTTTGGTTTAAGTAGACCTTCGTCATAAAGTACGCATATCTGGTGGTAAAGTTTCGGCGTTATAACAAACTTCGGCCCGAATAAGTACCTGAAGGTAGAACTATTATTCTTGCAATGAACCTGTCGATTACTTTAGCAAGTTTGAAATACGATTACAAAATCAGCCGTGATACAATCACTTACTTATACATCACGAACTTGTTATACATCATCAAAACATGTTTTGTGTCAATCTTATCTATTTTTGCTCCTAGAATAGATCGGGTTTTACTCTATAAAGTTGATCTTTAAAAGTAAAATCTTAAGACACTGTGCAATGATTTCTATTTACAGACAGATACATCAATGTAGACTCGTATCTTACTACCGTAATTCTTTCATTGCTTCAGGTTATCTCTAACTTTTATTTCAACTTTCAAATTGCACATTTACTGAACGACTTCATTAAATTAGGTAGCAAAGCAATCTGCGTGAGAGTGGAGTGTTTAAAGAAATAACTGTGTCTTGGAATGAGGGATTAGGGTCTTGCCGAACGATGACAAGTGAACATGTACAGCAGGTGCGCTAATGCAAAACAGCACTTTTCTGTGTTGACTAAAATGAAATTTAACAGCCTCTAGATTGGGGAAGAAGTCGCACGAACTTGTGAAAAACGAGACGAACCCCCCCCCCCCTCCCCTCCCACCAATTAGTGTCATTACCGTCTTCGGGGAGTGACTACTACTGCTGTCTCAATGAGGTTCTCGTCTCGGCCCTTCAAAATATCTAATTCGTGAAGTTTAAAAGAAAGATTGATGTAGGATAAAGATTTAAGAAACAGACAAGGAAATGAGGGAGGGTGAAGTTACTGAGTACTTGGAAAACCAATTTTCTCACTGGTCTGCTCCAATCTTATACTTACTGCGGCAACTCTAATCAGAGAGGGACATCTTTCTAAGGCATAGCCATGGGGTGGGGGAGAAGGGGGTATTTAACACCCCTCCTAATTTTTCTGTTAAGACTTCCAAGGGTGTAAAGGGGATATTTACCCCTCCGATTTTTTTGGGTAAAGACTACCCTGTTCCACTCAAGTGCCATTTTTTTTATCAGCGTGTACCATCCCCCCCCCCCCAAAAAAAAGTGGTCTTTTTTTACCAGGGGCGTTTTGCGAGTGCCCTTTTTGGAATTTCGCGCGCCGCCCTGAAAAGCGCCATCTATTGTCCGATATAGTGCATGATCGCCCAGTTTGAACTAGTCTTGAGTATAGCCCTATATCATGCTTCCACCATTTTAGTCATGTTCCCTGTATCCAATTTCAGTACTGAATGATAATGTGTTTGTGCAAAAAGGAACCAGACTATATTTCCCTCCAGCCTCGCTGTGGTTACATTGATTTGGATGGGAAAAAAAATCAAATGGCTGCATCATGATAATGATCTATTACCTGTTCGCGTTATCCACGGAGCCAAATCCTGGAGAACGTCCGACATGTCCTGACATGCAAATTTACGCATGAACCACTCGGTAGCACAAAATAATGCAGTCAAAACATTGACTAGATTCTTAATTATTGAAAGTTGATTAGGAACTTAGTTAAACATGCAGAGTTTCAAACTATGACTAGAAAAAGTAGTTGAATTTGACTCCAAGTTTAGTCATTTGCACATTACTTTTTTCAATACTGACTGGAACAATCTAGTCAGATTGACTGATTTTCAGTTGCACCAAGTTGAACCTAAATAGCTAGTCAAATTTAACTGGTTTCTAGTCAAATCTGAATTTTTTGTTAAAGTGAGGGAAGCTTTGCATCCGAGAACAGAGGTTGTCATTATCACCACTAGAGGGCAGTGTTCAGGGGTTGCTTTTTGGAGTTACAGTGCGCGAATCCGCGCACGTGATCACACAGTACACTCACGAGGCCCCTCTCAATGGAGAAAGCATCCTGCACGCTGTTATATACAAAGTTACTGCCCCGTGACGTAGCCATTGAAGGGGGTCTTCGTGACAGAATTAATAGCGTGCCCGGATTGGACCACAGACTCGGGGCCGGGGGGGGGGGAATGGCAGAGAAACATTTTGGATGGTGGAATGCAGCTCTGGAAGTGCTCTAATGTGGAAAGAAAAATGTAAGAAGATAAGATAGTTAGCTTGAGAAACGGCGTAAGGGGAAACCTGAAGATGTGATGACAATTTTGTGCTGCTTATTGGGTCATGGTGCAGCGGTGATGAAATATTAAAGAGTGAAAGGAAGAGGCAAGGAAGGGTGGGGTAGGGTTTGGTTAGGTTGACAAGGAAAGTTAAGGACAAATGCGTAAAAAGGAAAATTTACTTTGTGAATTCAACAAAGTAAACATGTTACCCATCCCTATAGCTCAATGAGTTAAGTCACCGGCTGGGACTGTCTGCGAAGTCCAGGTTATGCATCTACTCATAGGTACGGGGCTCTTTTGCTGTCTCGGCAGCAAGGCATAGGGTGTCGCCTCGTGTCCTCCCTTAACGGTGCTTGTCCCTCCGGGGTTACATGGATGGACAGGGAAGGAGGTGTGGTGGGCCGGGGAATCCGAGACCCAGGAAGAGCCCTATATGGGAGATGGTAACCAATCGCGACCCCCGAATGCTTCGTCAACACCACATAACTTTTTGTTTTTCTTTATCCCATTATTTTTTCATTGTCGAGACTTTATAAGATACAGTAATGACGAAAAGGTTTTCTTCCAAAATAAATTCGCCCTCGGTAACAATCCCAGCCGGGCTACTGAAACACATTATTCATTTTCACCAGCCAGCATGTTTTTCTTTTTATACAGTGTCTTATAAACAAAAATGTGCATACATGTATAGCCTAAAACATGCATCCTGAGGTTGGTTGTTATGCCATACACTTCGCATATAAATCGATATTCATTTCCAATAACTTCAAATATCACAGAGCCTTGTGATATCACAGAAAAACTTGTTTTTCTCAAAATGTTTTAAGCAATCGAAATGAGAATCAAAGAAATGCAGCGATTCCTATTTCTAATGCTAATATGAAACACATACAATTGACAAGAGCTGTTTCGACGAACTACGTTACCAAAACAGCAAATTCTGAGCGGACTACTTTTCGTACGTTTATTTCCAAAAACAAACTGCGCGTAGGTTTGACCGTTAAACGTGAATAGCGCCCGCAATCAACTAAAAGTAATCACACAACTGATCGTCATTGCACACTTGTACAATAATTTTGTAATCACAAACAATTCTTTCTAATCACAACAGCAAACAACCCCTAACAACTTTAATTCTGATAAGAAAACACATACTTAATAGGATCGGCGAACTACGTCGCCCAAAACAGCTAATTATGCGCGAACTACTTTTCGTACGGTTAACCCCCAAACCAAACCTGTGTAGGCTTGACCGTTAAACTTAAACAGCGCCCTCAACTGACTGAGAGTATCACCCACAAATAATCGTCATTGGACAATGTACCCCGAATTCTTTCCAATCACTACAATATCAAGGAATTCGAACGCACCTTACTTTTTCTTCCAATATCCGGCGTTACACTATTGACAGCGCACTCTGTTACGTAATTTTCTAGCGCGTTCATTGTTACGCCGAACTGCCTATTCAACTTCACTCTCGATGGAGGAACCACCCCTCTCTCAACCTATTCTTCTTTTGTTTTTTTTCACTTCTTGCAATCAACAATTCCTTGCATGTCGCGCGACTGTACAGCCAAGAGCTGGTCTCGCGCCTACGTATGTATTAGGCCAAATCCAGGACAGTTGTTTTAGGGTGGGCCAAACCTTTTTGTTTGTCCCCGATAAAGTGGGTCCAATTGAATGTTCCGCCCGAAATTTATATGAAAAGCAAGGGGCCATATATGGCATCGGTGCACGGTGGCGCAATTTTAATGATGTACGCAGGTGGCTGCCTTTTTGCGACGCAAGTTTAGACAAAGAAATAGTTCGGTAATTTTTTTTTGGGGGGGGAGCATAGCCCCTGTTGTCCCCCCCCCCCCCCCCCCGCTCCCCAAAAGATCTGCCGTTGCGTAATAAATGTCCCTATTCACCTGTGGCATCTTGACAGAGCCAGTTGGTTTTAACCGATTTTTTTCTGATTGAGTAAAATTCCAGCAAGTTCCACATTTTTGTATTCCACTTTATAAATCTTGAGTTTTTCAACTCGCTAAAATAATGCGATCCAAGTCATTGATTTGTGTTTTACACAAAGCTGCGATAAACCGGGAAATGTTTGTTTCAGGAAATAAAAAGGTCATCATATCCATGTTTTGGTATAAAAAAAAAGAAGTCAGTAATCGTAAGCTCTTGCGAAGATATGAACCTATCACATCCCTGCCCATGGTTTATGAACTGTAGGTTGTTCGATAATTTAGAAGGGCTTGGAAAAAGTGTACTTGTAACAGGGTCGATAACAGGCCGGTGTGTCTGTAT